CAAGAAGAAAAATAATCACAGCTTCCCCTTCGTCAGGAGAATTCCCCCAAACCCAACAGGAGTCACAGCGCAAGGACCGGAGCAGCCAGAGCTTCGAGGCGATTGAGCGGGGCCCTCCTCCTCTATCACGCTCCGCCTCGAGTATTGCTTACAAGGCAATAGGCGAGTTGAAGGACGAGAGGGAGAGCGCACGCACAGGGTCCGAGAGATAACACTGGGTACACTGGAGCGAGGCAGGGGACGCGCTCTTTACACGGTGTCGTTAGGATGGGGGAAACGATTCCAAAGTGAGAAGGGAGGCAAGGCTATCCGCAGGAAACAGGAAGGGGAGGGGACATAAAGAAGTAGCCATAGAACACGAGGAGGTAAATATGCAAGAGTTTGACACTTTTTCTACAGAACGCGAGGATGTAAATTCCAAAGATTTTAAGTGCTTTTGATAATGTCCTGATCGTGATGATAAGATTGCATGATTGCCGTGCGGGTAATACAGCTATACAAAGTGGAATAAAACAGATAATCTGGGTCCATAGGCAACGATCAGCCCCTCTCTCTCGCACTCTCTGTCTATCTCGCTTACTTGAATGTAGTTCGGAATATGCAAATTGATGTCAAGATGTATTCGGTTCATCCTATTTGAGATGTTTGCCCAGATGTGACATAGCGAAGATATACATTCATACGGTGATAGTCCATGGTCGAAGGCTGTCTATCTAGCTGCCTGTAGGTCTATCTATACGTCTATTTATCTATCATTTTTTTATTAATCTATCTATATCCCTTCTCTATGTCTAGCTAACTAGTTGCCTGTCAGTTTATCTATGTGTCTATTTGTCTACCTGTCTATTAATTTGTCTAGGAGCATATCTGTCTATCTAATCTCTCTCTCTCTCTCTCTCTCTCTCTCTCTCTCTCTCTCTCTCTCTCTCTCTCTCTCTCTCTCTCTCTCTCTCTCTCTCTCTCTCTCTCTCTCTCCCTCTCCCTCCCTCTCCTCCCTCCTCTCTCCCTCCCTCCTCCCTCTCTCTCTCTCACTCTCTCTCTCTCTCTCTCTCTCTCTCTCTCTTCTCTCTCTCTCCCTCTCTCTCTCTCTCTCTCTCTCTACTCTCTCTCTCTACTCTCTCCTCCTCTCTCTCTCTCTCTCTCTCTCTCTCTCTCCTCTCTCACTCTCTCTCTCTCTCTCTCTCTCTCCTCTCACTCTCTCTCTTCCTCTCTCGTCCTCTCCTCCCTCTCTCTCCCTCTCTCTCTCTCTCTCTCTCTCCTCTCTCTCTCTCTATACTCTCTATCTATCTATCTATCTATCTATCTATCTATCTATCTATCTATCTATCTATCTATCTATCTCTTCTCTCTCTCTCTTTCTCCCCCCCCCTCTCTCTCCCGACAGACTCTGCTCTCGAAGGAAAGATTAGGTGAAAATCCTTGTCCGAACTCAGTCTCCGATGCCAGTACAGCTGACTGTCGAGTCACCTTGTCCGAAACCTGTGGATTAAGAGTTTGGTTTCGGATGATTTTTTCTCTTGCTTTGAAAAAAAAAAGTTTGAAAAAAATATTTGGAAATACGTACTTAAGACATTTTTGTACATGCTCGCTCACGCACAAACATACATTCACGTATAGACGTACATACATATATACATCTATACGTCTCTCTCTCTCTCTCTCCTTCCCCTCTCTCTCTCTCTCCTCTCTCTCTCTCTCTCTCTCTCTCTCTCTCCTCTCTCTCTCTCTCTCTCTCTCTCTCTCTCTCTCTCTCTCTCTCTCTCTCTCTCTCTCCTCTCTCTCTCTCTCTCTCTCTCTCTCTCTCTCTCTCTGTCCTCCTCTCTCTCTCTCTCTCTCTCTCCTTCTCTCTCTCTCTCCTCTCTCTCTCTCTCTCTCTCCTCTCTCTCTCTTCTCTCTCTCTCTCTCTCTCTCTCTCTCTCTCTCTCTCTCTCTCTCTCTCTCTCTCTTCTCTCTCTCTCTCTCTCTCTTATCTTCCTCTTTCTC